CTTACTTGTATATATGATGCAGATTTGAGTATTACAGGATGATTTTTAAAAAATTTAAATCATGCATTTAAAATTCACTACTTAGCAGTAAGAAGAACAGTGTTATCAGTCATGAAAGTGAATTCTAAACTCAGCACTCCATCAAGATTTAGGGTTATTAGAAGAAAAATGTGTATACTGGACCCGGAGCTGGATGAGATTGTAGTCTAACAGTGTAGATGACGCTAGCATGCAGACGTGACACTGCTGGACAGCATTTCAGTCTTTCCTTTGGTGTGGAATAAAAGCCTAGAAAGTGTTTAGAAAATGGCACATTATTATCAAGGAAAATTTCAAGGAAAATGTCGAACTTAATTTGATTCCTGAGGTATAGTCAAAATTTGAGGTGGGTGCGTTCAGGGCAATACTAGAGTAAGCAAAATAGGGGGGAAGCATGGCTTTCCCAGAGGCCTGTCAACAGACATGCTCGGCTACAGCAGGGACTGGGCATACAGGGGACTACCATATACGTCATGTGCTTAGGTTTGGGTCAGATATTTGGAGAAGTAAAAACCAGGTTGAGGTAGGAAGAGGTGAGAGCTGCATTTATTATCACAGGACTATTATAGGTTGCTGAAGGTGGCATATGATAACAAACTAGTATTTTCAGAAGATGACTCTGGAGGTGGTTTGCAGCCTGTGTTATAGGAAAAGTACCTTCTGTTAGGGAGATAAGCCAAGATTTCTGACTCTAATCTAGTTAAGAGGTGCTAAGAGCCTGCACGTGGGCTGTGAATGGTGAAGACAAAAAACTCAAATCTGAGAGAGATATTTTAAGGGGAAAACTTAAAGTCTCAGAGATAGGTTGGATATATGAAATAGAGGTGAAAGACAAGGATAAAAGAGACTGACTTCTATTTCCAATGATTGCAAGCCTGATGTTACCATGTCTGATAGAATACAGTTGGAATAGCTGTTCTTAGTGAATATAAATAAATCAGCCTAGTCTAGCATTTAGTGATATTTGGGACCACATGGTTCTGGGTGCTTTTAGAATATGCAGGTACTATTCTTAGACTGGGCAACTACAGACCCTTCCAGAAGCGAGTAAGAGATGGCATGAGTAACATTCATGGAGTGCCCTCTGTGAGCCACGGGATGGGTTTTGTACCCTCACATGACATTTTAGCTAGTTTTCACTATGATAATAATTGTCCTTCCATAAGCACTAGTATGTATAGGGCCTTCCCTGAACACAATGACATAGATTTTTTTAAAAAATTCTTACAAAAATCTTACAAAATAGGTATCATTAAGTCCATTTTACAAATTAGGAAGCTGGCCAAAGCTTTTTACATACTTGGCCCAAGATTGTACAGCTACTATCTTACTGATTGGACAGAGACATTCTTAAGAATCTGGTCAGTCTAACTTATGACTAAGTTAAAACTCAAGCCATTTCCAAAAGTCGTAAGTGCAAAGGAAGTGATGGCATTTGGAAAACCACTGAAATGAAGCCACGTTTCGTTATCTTTGTTTCTCTCTGCAATCTATGCCTCACGGACTCCGTTCAGATAGGTCTTACTAAAGCTCAGCTCTGACGGTGCCATATCCCATCACAACTTCTGCTAGTTCTTTGCTATATTAATAGAACTTTCTGGGAAGCATTAAGACGTAAGAAAGTAGATTCAGTTTGTTTAAAGGCAACCAGTAGTGTGTCAGTCAAAAGCAGATCAACTTTATACTAAAATTTTCATACAATAGTTCAGGAAGAAAGTATAGATTATGCTAAATATATAAATGTTTAGAGGTAAATATCCTATGTTTAACCTAGGCAAAAAAATCTATAAATTAATAGATATAGTCTTATAATTGCTTAACATTAAAAACCAAAACAGCACAGAGGCTGAAGTTATTTTTAAGAAGGCTATATATATTCTTCTGGATACATGAGGACTTATATAAAAATATCAAGTCTTGTTTCATGATCCAAACACCCACAGGAACCCCGGAGATCATGGTTTACAGCAAATCAGGCTAAAGTTAGCCAGAAGCCTCGGGTCTTGGGAGAGCTTAGTAAGAGGGCAGCCACTTTTCCCTAACTCTGCCTTACACCCTTCAGTGGTCCCTGGTTAGCCTGTGTCCTGAGTAGAACTCGGGATTTAAATACATTTACAGCTTATATTGTGCTTTGCTGTAGTGACCAAAGAGTCATCTTCATGTACACTCTGATCTTTTGTTAAGAATAAGATGTTAGGGACATGCTGTCTGAACTGAATTAGATATGAAATCCTTAGATTTTAAAAAGCAGAGTTTATCCAGAGGTAGCACCTTCTTTCCTATAAAAGGAAAGGCCTAATTTCTTACAACACTAGGAACAGGATCAAGACCAAAAATAAATATGTAACTGGAGAGTGCCTGGGCTACAAATACAGATTTTGGAGTCACAGATGAGAGGAACCACTAAAACAAAAGAAAGAAAACAAGAAAAACAAAATGAAATATAAAACAAGAAAAAAATTTCAAGATGCCCTGATTATCAATAAGACCGTTAGCAATGGTAATTTGAGGAGAATGATTCCCATAGAATGAAAAGGGCAGAAGATATACCTCATAGAGATTAAATGGAGGAAGGAGAAGAGGAGTCAAGTAAAGAAACTTAAAATCTCCAAAAGCTTTTCTATTAGGAAAGGTAGCAATGCATATTTTTATTTATTTTTCTTTAAATGTATTTATTTTTATTTTTGGCTGTGTTGGGTCTTCGTTGCTGCACGTGGGCTTTCTCTAGTTGTGGCGAGAAGGGGCTACTCTTCATTGCGGTGTGCGGGCCTCTCACTGTCATGGCTACTCTTGTGGCGGAGCACGGGCTCTAGGTGCATGGGCTTCAGTAGTTGTGGTGCGCGGGTTTCAGTAGTTCTGGCTCACGGGCTCTAGAGCACAGGCTCAGTAGTTGTAGCACACAGGCTTTGTTGCTCTGTGGCATGTGGGATCTTCCCAGGCCAGGGATCAAACCCATGTCTTCTGCATTGGCAGGCAGATTCTTAACCACTGCGCCGCCGGGGAAGCCCAGCAATGCATATTTTTAGAGCGTTCAAACTTTAAACACATTGGTTTTTTTTCAAGAAATAAAAATAGGAGGGGCTTCCCCGGTGGCGCAGTGGTTGAGAGCCCACCTGCCGATGCAGGGGACACGGGTTCGTGCCCCAATCCGGGAAGATCCCACATGCCGCGGAGCGGCTGGGCCCGTGAGCCATGGCCGCTGAGCCTGCGCGTCCGGAGCCTGTGCTCCGCAATGGGAGAGGCCACAGCAGTGAGAGGCCCACGTACCGCAAAGAAAAAGAAAAAAAAGAAAGAAAAAAAAAGAAATGTATGAAGGATGGCAAAATAACTTGAAATACAACGAAGAAATAAATTCTGATATTCTCTAACTTCAGTTTATAGTAAAGATATAATTAATGAAAGATACACTTTATGGGGAAAGTAAGAGGAACGGGCTCCTACAAGATCAGAAATAAAACAGAAATATTTTTATAGATGCTTAGCAAGAAAAAAAAGAAAACTAATATTTTTTAATGGCCCAAATTTTTTAACAAATGAAATAGTTTTGGTCTTCTTAAAACTGAGAACTCAACATGTTTAAGTAATTTCTATGTGTAATTTAAATCATTGTTAGACGTTTTATTACAATAACCAAACACTTCAAAAAAATAAAACTGTCTTTCATAATTGAGGAAATTTCAAATGTAAATATAATTTAACCGAGTAATAGCTGAAAATGATTGAAGAAAATGTGTTCATTTTAAAAAAGTACTTAATTGTACTTTTGAAATGCAAGTCACAGTTTGTTTTTCTCATTATCCTGTGTGTGTGTGTGTGTGTGTGTGTGTGTGTGTGTGTGTGTGTGTGTTTAAGAAAAATTTTTAAATGGCGTGTGTGTTGGGGAGGGGTGTTGAGGGGCACTACAGAGAAACGTATCTGCTTAACTGAAACAACGCTCCCTACCTTTTTATTCCCACAAAAACAAGAATAATTTGTCCTATAAGAAGATGACTCATACACTAGCTGTAAAAAGAAAACACAACCGATGGGGGAAAAAACCCAGCCCCATAAATGTTTTTGTACCAAATTGTAAAAAATGGCTATTCTTAAAAATGTGCGTTCTAATTAATTTCCAGAAGTACAACATGAAACGCTAGAGGTACCATCTAACAACTGCATTTATTCCAGAAGTTACTTGTAGCAGCTTTGACAATTAAGCAAACTAGGTAGAGTGCTAAGATTTCCTGGGAAAGACCAAGTGATCTCTTCTTTCTCGATTGTCAATACCATTAATGACTAGTGTTTACATCCGTATCTGTTATCCCTCAATTTATGATTTAACTAAAGGAGCAAGGCAACACCATGTTACAAAGAAGGGTTAAGTGAGTTCTTAGAAGCATCAAGAACTAAAATATGGACCACCTGCATCTCTACCTAGTCATGTGGTCATTGATGATTTGCATAGATTTTTCTTGGTCTTAGTGTCCTCACTATAAAATTAAGTCTTTGTACCACATTATTCATTGTGCTACCCTTTTTAAGCCCATAGATTCTATGATTGGAATAAATTTAGAACATGTAGAATAGAAAATTTTACCAGAATAGTGTTTTTGGGCAGAGGGATAGCTGAGCTCTACCCTGTCAGTATCCCAGGCTCACTGCCCACCCATAGCCATCGTGTCTGGTTACCTTCCTGGCAGCTCCTAGAACTCCATGGAGCACAGATTGAACACCTTATGACAGTATTATCTCTAAGGTTGTCACTAGCTCTAAAATTCTCGATTCTATGAGGACAAATCTGACCTTGACATTTATCCCTTTGGGAGCCACACATGATATAAGAGGCCCCCATGAATTTATGCTAACTTGGACTTAGTCTAAAATTCAGGATGGCCTTCCAGGATAGGACTCATCAGAGAACATGGGATATACCATCTTCATCGTGAGTGAATGCTAGAGATTTATCCTTCGATGTTACTCACTGTGATCTGACACCAAACACAATGCAGTCCTGTCAAGCCCTGGTAACATTTAACCGTTTTGTGGCACTTATCACACTTGGTTGGGCAGTTGCCTTCAACCCAGTAATGATGCATCACCTAGAACACAACAAAAGCACTGTGGTAAGAGGAGGCATCCATAAACACCACCCTCAAAAAGCAAGCATGGCCACACACTTACATCAGTGTTCTTCTTGGACTTTACGTAAGTCTTGATGCAAGAAGGAGGTGCTCTAGCCACGCAGCGCTCATGTACTGTGTACTTGCAAACTGAAAGGAAACATGTACACAAATTCAGAGCTAATCCTGGTCCTGATTGCAATTTTATACAGAAAGAATGACATTAACAGAAGCTTGTTTCATAGCCACTGCTCCCTAATCAATCCAATCAGCCACATCAAGGAAAAGTCCAACTCGACTGTTTTTACCATGGAATACAAAAGGCCAATTAGTACAGGAAATATTATGCATGTGAAGAACCAAGACTCCTCTATCATGGCAATAGCAGGAAATGCTTAATTAAATCAGGCCTCACTCAAATTTTTCACGATAATTCCCAGATGACAAACATACTAAAGACAAATTGATGACTGCCAAATGGCTTGGTGTCATTTGCTAGAAGGAAGAGATCTATATTTTACAAAGTATAGGCATGAGAGCAGCTGGCGGGCATGGGAATAAAAGCGCATGAGTTTATGCTACTTTGTCTATTGATTTATCTAAACCTTAAATGGCTGATTAGTCTATTTCCAGAGAATAGATTTCATCATACTTGCCAGACCTTCAGTTAAACTTCATCCCTCATTGCCATCATGGCACTGTTTGTCCAAAAGGAACAACATTTGCTGGGCAGCATATTGTATATACATATATGCAAAATTTTATATGTATCTGCAAATATGTATAGAAACACATGTACAAACATATATATATGTGTGTATATAAAATGTATAACGTATATAAAAAACCAACACGTACACTTTATTGGCATCTTTAAATTACTTCATGGCTTGATTCTCAATATAACTCAGGGTCATATACAGATATTCTTTAATAAAACACTGGTTCCAAATTAAGAATTCTAAATGCATAAATACATAGAATAAAAATTAAGTAAAAAACAACCAAGCAGCTCTCTCAATATAACGAACAAAAATTAACTACTGCATGAAGTTAGAATGAAAATATAATATTTAAATAGGAAAACTATTCCCAAATATCCACATCTGTGATTTCCTTTGGCAACACTGAGGAAGAAAACGCAGTTTCTCTTCTCTTCCATATTTGGCAATAATGTTGAGTATTACATGTGCACACTAATCAGTTAAAATTTGTGAGCAAGGTTCTCACTCTTATATGATATTGCCCATATTATTTGAGAATTACCATTTTGTTTCATAAGCTCCCATCAAGAGAAAGTACCATGAAAAATTATTTTCCTTAAAAATAATAAAACTTTGAAAACAAATTACTTCCTTTGTACATGGAGAATGTTCTGGTATAAATAGCTTTTTAAATGTGGCCACTAGAAACTGCCCTCTAAAGCGGCACGAGGTAATTTTATGTAACTTTATTAAAATCCTTAAACAGGTAAGAAATCACTTAAAAGTGTACCTATTATATGGTTTTTAATGTAAAATAAAACATCTGAGAGAAAGTCAACTCCCAAATATGCTACCAAAGAAGCTGTTAGCTAAAAATAATATCTGAAAATTATGCATTATATGGAAGCCAGGTGAAAAATTAGATTTAATATCAATGCACGAAAATAAGATATGTCTAATAAACGTGACAATTTCAGTAACTCCATACACTGCAGAAAAGGGCGTGGATGGACAATGTGCTGGACCAAGACAAAGTCGCACTTTAGTGAGGAGGACTCAATATTCCCTCTGTTTTTTTTTTTTTTGCGGTATGTGGGAGACTCTCTCTCAACAGTGAGAGCACTGTTGTGGCCTCTCCCGTTGCGGAGCATGGGCTCCGGATGCACAGGCTCAGCAGCCATGGCTCACGGGCCCAGCTGCTCCGCGGCATGTGGGATCTTCCCGGACCGGGGCATAAACCCGTGTCCCCTGCATCGGCAGGCGGACTCACAACCACTGCGTCACCAGGGAAGCCCTCCCTCTGTTTTAACAGAGGCATCAGGGAATGCAAAAGTTCCTCAGGTATACATCTTGTTTATTTAAAACTTCTTAAGTGCCTTTTATAAATTAATTGTTACATATACTACCAGAAAGAACACCATAGAATAAAATAAATATTGTAAAGATAAGTGTACCGAAATAAAAATAATGGCCACAATTCATGAACTGGCAACCCTTTGGGTTCTAATATCTATTAACCATATGTTCCGGAGCCTGTGCTCCCCAACGGGAGAGGCCACAACAGTGAGAGGCCCGCATACCGCAAAAAAAAAAAAGAATCATGTGCCTGAGGTATAAGATTAGTGTGTATTCCTTGTGATTTCTTAGTTTGAATGGAAACTGATAATCAATTAATTATTTTTGAAAGACTGAAAGGAATTAGCTCATTATAGGAAGACTGTGAATAAAGTGATAACTTAGGGAGGGAAAAAAGACAAATATGCATAAGATGTAAATATGAGAGACCAATGGATATTTTCATAATACTCCCAGAAGAAATGGGAATCATGAATAAATTAAACTACAGTGGAAAGAAAATGGCTAGTGAATTGGGAAATGTCCTTATTTCTTTTCCAAGGAGAAGGTTTTCCAAAATTGAAGAAAGTTAAAACTAGAGTGATCTAAACCTTCAGAAACATACTTCAGGGAAAGATAAATCATAGGTTCGGGAAGGGTCAGGTGATTTCTTAACTCCGTCTACAAATAGAACTATTCCACGAAATCAATGGCTTCTCACCAGAGGTGATGACATCCGGGCAAAGCAAACGTACTCACAGGAGCAGCAGAGGCCCTGCTTCCCCACGCCGATCAGCATGTTCAAGCAAAGATTGCAGTAGGCAGGTTTGTTAAAGTGCTTGAGTCGCCACACATGCTGTCCGTCATCCTTCACATTCTGCACGGGACGCAAGAGAAAAAGATTTCACTTAATGAAGTAAACAGTGGAATATGTAAGTGCCAATAAAATTCAGAGCTGGACTGAAGCATTTGAAGACAATCTGTTATTTCATCCCTGACTTTCTCCAAGATTGCTACAGAGTCTAGAAAACCACATGTGCTCTAGTGGAATGAGATCCTGCTAACAAATATCGGATGCTATAGCAACCCACAAATTCTTGCCTAATATCAACAGTTCAACAGCAGGTCCCAACCATCATAACCGTCCGCCAAACTGAGCACTCCTCCGAACAGAGGCGTGTTTGCCTCACCTCTGTATACTTTATTCCTAGCACAATTCCATAAACAAATCAGTGAATAAAGGAAGAGAAAATACTCTTGAGTGGAAGATTCTGAGAGATGAAAACCTTGGCAGAATATGTTAACCCTTGCTTAATAGTAGGAATATGTAAATTTCTTGATGGTGGTTAGCTCTTATGAGGAGGTAGAAGGGTGGGATGGGATGGGAAAGAATGACACTTAAAAGTAAGTTATTCATGATATTCTAAGGCTTCAGTTGGGGGATTCCTTATATGTTATAATTGACACTAATATATTTTTGTATGTCTCAAATAGAAAATTTAAAAACATAAACTTTTATAAGGCTCTAATTACATTATTATTTTACTTCTCTTTTACAAAATATGAATGATTTTAATCTCATGGAAAGATGACAAAAATATTAAAACTATATTACTGTATTTATTTATAACAGTGTCTACCATTATTTGCCACAATAAAACCTTGAGTTCAATTAATTCACATTTTAGCAAAACAACTGTAATTATTATATATTCTTCTAAGTAAAACTCTATAATATTATAATAGCTATTCTCTATTAGATACATTAGATACATTGAAGTAAAATGAAATAATATGATGCTTAAGATTCCTTACAAGGAGGTGAAGATATTAAATGAAGTTATTATACATCATTACTTTTATTACCATCATTTTCTGTATTAACATGTAGTCCTTGTACATCATGTACCAAACCATATCAAACTCAGATTAATTTTAGACATCATTTATTGGTATTCTATAGAAACCACTGCAGGTCATGGTTTTTCAGGTTAGTCAAGTTGCCATACTTCTTAGAACACGTTGAGCTAATACTTTTTTGAGCACCTATTATGTGCTGGGGCACTAATACAAGTTCTGTGGTAGTGAGACAGTATAAACATGCCCAGATCATCTTGTTTCTCTGGATAATAAAATATTAATAATAATGCTTCCTAACTACTTTTTCCTATTCCCTATCAAGAGATAAACCACCAGATTTGAAGTACCCAATTGAATCCACTGTAACTAATTCCTACATTAGAACCAGAAATGTCAAATTCGCATTATAATATGAAACATTAATGAAAATGCTTTCTGGGAGATAATTCTCCATGGGTCTCTTGAATTTCTGCACATTTTGTAAGCAGAGGAACTGTCCTTTTCTCCAAGTTAACTTTTCAAAGGTGTCTGAATAACATACAGCCTTGCACAACAGAGATGTGCAGAGGGCAGGTTTCCTTACTGTCCGGTGTAATAAAGATAATTTCTCCCTTCTAAGCAAAGGTTTAGCAAGTGTGTTTACTGCGTATTATAAAAGATTTAGCTTCCCCAAGCCAGGGGTTCTGGGCTCTGATGCTGTGCAAGGCAATTACTTGGACCTCTCTCCATCACCCCTAAGAGACTTCATGGGCCAGGAGAACTAGCTCAGATGTGAAGCTCCTATTGCTTCTTTGCTGTGAGTAAACAAGTTTTTGTTTCTGACCCAGGCACTCATGTCCTCTGCCAGCACCCGTGGAACTGTGGCAAGCTCACTTGTTCACTTGCAAGTAGGGTAACTCTCAGACCCATCATGGTTCCTGACAATGTTCAGCTTATTTTCCTGACAAAGAACTAACAAGTTCTCAGCAAAAGCACTTCTGCAGAAGGTGCCATGGAGGAGACATCAGAAGACAATGGTGTTTCAGGTGTTTTTCGAAAGCTTAAGAAATAGATTTTATAGTAATTTCTGAATCCAGTTCTGGTCTGCTCAAGTCATATGACTTCTATTATCTTTATTATGTGAATGGAATGCTTTATATATTTGTTTAATTTTTCTATAGCTTCCAAACTATCTCTGTTTTAAAATTTCTATTCCTTCAAATAAGAATAAGATGCCCTGATGTTAAAAGTTAAAGAGGTTAATTTTTTTAAACATATTGATAAAGTTAGCATTAAGTATTAGTTTAAATAATTAGATTAATTCTTAAAAAGACATTTTTAAGTGAAAAGGAGAAAAGAAAATTTAATTTTCATATGTATTACTGTTCTCATAAGCCTTGTCATTTTATTTTTAAATGAGTGTCCATTACATGTGAATAAGCCTCCTCCTGTTGAAGAGCACATATGGACTAAGTTAGCTGGCATTTTCCTTATCAAAAAATAAACAAGTCTGAACGTGGGTGTTCTGTCAATCAGAACACTTAGCCATGTTACAGGCTGCCACTGATGCACAAATCCATTACCCCGACAGAAAATGCTCTACCAAAAAACAAATTAAATCACTTTATAGCTCTTAGCGGATACATTGCCAGAATATTCAGAGGATGAAATATGTATGTGACTTCAAGAGAAGACATTGAAACCAGGAGCCAACTACTTCTAAGCAGCACATATTAAATGCCAACGCTATGTATTTTCATGTCTTGTCTTGTTTGTCTTATTTAGATGGTAAACTTACTGGGGAAGGGGGAGACTCTGTCCCTTACTATATTCTATCAGCCAGTAGAGCATACGCCTCTTAGTACTTCCACTGCAAATAAATATTTATTGTCATAAAGAGGAATTCATTTTTATAAAAAAGCAATGAAGAGGGAATCTGGAAGGCTTGATTCCTGGCCTCTGATGACAATGTGGATAAGCCATTTCACCTTTCTTATTTTCCCCTCTGATAAAATGAAATAAAATGAAAGTAACCACTTTCCTCACCAGGCCATGGTGTGAGGTTTCATTATACAATACCTGTGAAGTCAATTTAGCTCCTCAGAAGACTGGTGTTATATAAACAGCAAATATTATTACCATCATTGGGTTGAGTTGCGTAACATCCCAGTGTTTCAGCCAAAAGATTTGAGAAGGATGTTGGTAGGTTTATGATACTTTATTTCATAAAAGTTGTGTTCTCCTGGTTTTTTCATTACCAGACATTACTCTTAATAAAAATTTATTCCTGATATTTAGTAAACACCGTATTTTATAATGAAGCACTTCAGTTCTGTGCATGTGTCAGAGAAACGTTTAATGAAACACAGGCAAATTAACACAGAGAGGGAGTGCCAGGGTCTTCCTCGCCCTCTAATCCCTTGTAAGTCAAAAGGAGGCTTTGAAGGGGTGAATGCTCTCTGGAAAATATTGAAAACTATTTCATTATCTTAGTGATTTCTAAAGTATTAGTTTCTTCTGTAAATACCCCCAAGACTGCAGACAGTGTTCAAGTGAACTAGGACTGTTATTATAAATAATAGCATTTTTTTCGAAAGACCTCAAGGAGAGATTTCACTGATGTCACAGCCAAAATGCTCCCATCCCCCTGCCCAGCCATGTCCCTGTTGCAACTGACCTCACTTATGACACATAGAAGAGCTAAGGTCGCAAATGGATTCCAACTCAAGAAATAATAAGTGCCATTAAATTACCTTACTTTTCTGTTCAAGGTCTCCAAAAAATTATAATGATATGAAAGAAACTGTTCTTTTAGACAAAAAGATGAACTATATCAAGCCTGAGAAAAGAGAATGCAGAAAGAACTTTTAAAATTCTGAGTGGAGCTGTAATCAACTGCCCATCTCCAGATCCCACTTTCTGAAGTCAGGCTCAGACCCCAATAGTCTTAAGGTTCAAATGCCATTTCAACTGTCAGTAACATCACGTGGTTATTTTCCTTGAATGACCCAGTGTGGAATCTCAAGAATTGTTGCATTTATCCAGCTTCATAACTCCTTTCTAGATTGTGCAAACAGCAGAACAACATCTTAACCAAATTAAATTTTAAAAAATAGAGTGTGAAACATTAGTTTTCCAAATATACCTTAGTCTATTAAGAATACATCATCTTCTGCTTTCCATCATACTCATCAAGGGACACATTTCATCAGAAATCAGGAAGCAAACCAAAGAATTACTTATACTTTATTGAATCAGGCAAAAAAATGTATCCTAAAACATTTCAATCAATGGCAAAGTTTAAACTATATATAGGGATTAAAGACCAGGACTCTGAGAACATATAGTGAAATCAACATACATAACCTTTCAAAAATCATAAGGCCAGATTTGGGCCCAACAATCCAACACTAAGAAGTGAAGGTATCCTTATTTTAAGCCAGTCTCCTATTTAAATGTGTATTCCTGTTTTTATGATAATATGAATTCAGGAATTTTCCTTGAAAAATCTAATAATGATCCAAGATTACAGATTTCAGGAATTGGAGCATTACTAATTATCCTGTTCATCGAGGAAAACAAATGTTTGAACTGAGAGAATATCAGAAAAGGAAAGGGATATTCCTGACTAATTTCTTTTTACATGTCCAGACAAGATGACTGGCAAAAAAATGACCTAGTTAGTTAATAATCAAGCCAGGGTGAAGGCCAATTTGATAACGTTCACTACCACTCTACTATCTCTTTATGAGTCCTTATGCCTTGCTGGGGTGGCTAATTGAGCTAGATTGAAAAAAAAAAAATCAGATTTCTCTTTCCAAGATAATTTTAAAACAGTTAACACTCATTCTGTTTGTATGACAGATTAGTGATAGAATAACTTGGGAGTCAGCAAAACTATGGCCCTTGGGTCAAATATGGTCAGCAAGCTGTTTTATAAATAAAGTTTTATTGGAACACAGCCCTGCTGTCATTTAGGTGGTGTCTGTGATGGCTTTTGCACTGCAGTGGCAGAGTCCAGCAGTTGCAACAGAGACCTTAAGACCCACAATGCCTAAACTATTAACTATCTGTCCTTTTACAGGCAAAGTTTGCCAATCACTAGAGCAGAGTTTATTGCTAGATACAGTTATTTAAAAAAGAAAAACACTTTCCTTCAAAATAAGATTTTTTAAAAAAGCAATTCTTCACTGAGATGAATGCTGAAGGAAGAATGAGTAAGTCTCAGGCATAAATTTTTAATTGTAATCAAAATCACATATGCCACCCAAACACTCGATTTTACTTCAGATGTAAGAGACTATACCATTTCATACTGGGTCTCATGAAGTGTGAAGGACTTCTTATAAGAGAAAGGAAATGACTTCTACTCCCTAGCATTTGATAAAGAATCAGGTTCTGATAAACTACAATTCTGATCCTAGCACCACAATGGGTATTAGGTAAAATAGAGTACTTTAAAAACTTCTGTTGATGGAGAAAAATGAACTACAATAAAATCACAACTGCTCTACCTTATATTTCACGTGAGGACTGCTCTCCCAGGGCAATATTCTTATCTGGGTAATTGGGCTAATACACCACGGTCACTTTCAAATACACTGTGGTATTTAACATGCACTATCAATTAGCATCTACTCCCTGAGCTCATAATTGACAATAGACAAGAATATATAGGACAGGCCTCACAATAAATGGCTGAATTCAACCTAAAGCTTCTAGATTTCCAATCTCATAAGCAAAAGTGGGGGGCAAAGTAGGAGGGAATGACACCATGAATCAAATTCTCTACAGGTAATAACAAAACACATTTACTGCCTACAGAAAAGGAAATAAATCTCAATTACTAAAAAAGGCCTTCATCACTCAGTTGTCATTGTGTCATTACTGGTTTGTAAAACACTTACCATGCCTTGGAATTAAAAAGCTGTTTTTAACAAATAGGTGCTCTGACTTGTGATCATAATTACATAGCTTTTCCATTTTATTAAAAGCCAATTTTAAAAACATTATTGACTTATTCTTTTTTTAAGAAGTAAAGAAAATACTCTCAGAATTGTTCTTCACAGGGGAACCATGCAATATCATATTCAAGTCGATCTACAAATGTTAAATAATGTAGCCCTGCCATCAAGTGGCCATCACTGGGAACACAACTTTGGAACACAGCTTGGGTTTCTTTGAAACCCTGAATCGATTTCTATCAGCTCTAAGAAAAAAATCTTTTAACGAAAAACATAAAATATAAATCTAAGAATATTAATATAAAGTAAATTATGTATCATTAACCTGATGGACATTAATGGCAAAGAATTGTCATCCCGTTGAAATAAAGTTACTGCTACACTAGAAACTGATGAGGTATATTGTATTTGTTTAAAATATTTTTAGTTAAATCCACATAGATTTGTGGACTATATATACCAATGCTATTTTTATAATTTCACAAATATCTATATTTATGAATAAAACTAAAGAATTTCTAAGCAATATTTTCCAAAATAAAACATTATTTCAATATCTTTCTGTGATTTTAAAAATATAGATGACTATATCTCCATTTCTGTACTTTCCTGTCCAACTCTCAACTACCAAATGATTTACTTACTTCTTTCATTCTCTCATACACGAATTTCCATAAATATTTAGAATAAAAACACTTTAGCTTTAAAAATATAAAATTCCCTTTGGGAACCATTATCAATAGAATTTCTTGAATAGTCATTTGTCAACTATATTTCAGTATAGAATATACACCAAACCTTACAAAGTTAACATTTAGTCAGTTTTCTTTCTGTTTTCTCCCAACAGTCTGATTTACATATGCTTTTGACAGAAGGTATATTAAAAAATAAACACATATTTATGATACAGAGATATATAGTAAGTTATTACAAAAGATACTAGGTTATGTATAGTATAAGAACATCAGATACAAGAAGTATTGCTCCATTAATTTGTAAAAGGTAGAAATATGTATCTATTAACAATAAGGTCTATATTAACTTTGTTTTAATAAAGTATTTACTTTAAGGGTAATTTCCTATTTATCATCTATTAGTAATTTTTCTTTTCCTTCCTCTGACCATGTCTAAAATCCCATGGGCCTCATTAAGGCTAAGATTAACCTGAATGTAAACGAATTTGAAGATCCAGGTGAATTGGAGACAAATTCTACCATCTGAAACCCATTTACATTTTCCCAAACCCATATGTAAACATGTACAAACCTATTTTTATATACTCTCAGGTGTTTTACAAACACAGACTGCAAGATCTCTTGAGAACTGTCTTTAAAAAAAAATTGCTATCTTGAGTAACTGTGGTATAGTCTTGAATCTGAAAAATCATTATTGCTGGTAACAGGAAGCATGAAAAATGTGGAGGTCAGCAGCAAAGTGGTGGACATTACATTCTTGTATCTCAAAACTCTAAATATTCTATGTGTCAGGGTGCTTTCCATCAGTAATACTCTTTGAATCTAAGTATAAATTTCACTATACTCATGTTATAGTTAATTCTTATTTATTAAGCTAAGTATAAAAATCTAGCGTTGACTCATTGGATTTTTAAATTAACTATTACTAAAATTTACACCAAGCCGGGGCAGCACGATTTGGACTCAAAGTCACTATCATATCACATTCTGATCTTATGGTGATATACTTTATTTCCCAAACCACCAGTTTTAATTACCACTGGAGGCACTGATATAAAAAAACTTCGACAGGCTTAGAAGGAAGAACTTTGACAGACTGTTGATATGTAAGGAAAACATTTACACACACACTCACACACACACACACACACACACACGCATATATACTCAACCACCTCTCTATATAATTGGCTTCCCCAAGTATGGGTTTGGTTATTAATAAAATAGATCATCTTCATGGGGAGGGGGAGCACAGAATGCAATAATACTGGGATGTTTCTTGCATTAGATAAAATAAGGTCAATGTTTTCTTTTAACAAGATTGCACTTTAAATAGTGGAAAAAAAGAGAGATTATGTATTAAATAATACGGTAATACCTAAAAAGAATTAATATATTCGTTGCAAGTATTACTATACAATGACTTATTGTTAACTTGTACTGTGACATACGTATTAGAAGCAGGCACTCACTATATACTTAATGGTAGAAAATAGCCAGATGAATTTATAATCAAAATGTATAAAAGAGAACCCCACTGACTTACCACCAGGCCACCCCCTCTCTGTAAATGCTTACATTTTCTAAGCCCAGGAGCACAAGAAGTGGAATTGTTGTCATGCCTCCTTGAATCCATTCCTCCAGAGAGACTGTTCCATCATGATCATAGTCAATTTCTTCCATCATTTCATGAAGGATCTGGAGAAGAGGAGATGACGAAAAACTTGAAATAAATCAATAAAATATTTTCATATGACACAACAAAGTACTGCACTGAATTGGTTATAATAAACTGTGACTAGCAGCTAAGTAGAGAGTTGAGGTAAATATCTAAATAACTCGGTACCATGTTAATCCTATTATCGAGCATATAGTAGCTTTGCTATGATTTCAAAAACCTGACGACTTACACTGATCAAATTTTATAAATAAATGCTTAACTTATTAATATTTTGTCACTGGATGGTACAGCTTAAACAAGAAGGTATCTCTAAGCATGAAAGTGATCTTTAATTGCTTTCTCTAGATTACTTTAAAAAATTCAAATATATGCCAGATAATGACAGACCAAATTAACTTCATGGCTAAGAGCTGAAATAATTCTTTGTTAAGTTGTGTGGGGCGGAGGAATTAAGTTGCTTTTAACTGCCTATCAGAACTTAATGGAGTCAAGAAGTTAAACAATCAAATACTTTTTTGATTAGATTTCTTTGCTAAGGAAGACTTGCACAGTGTCCTAAAATGTTCTCCGTAGTGTCTGTTTGTAATATATTTATCTCTCGGCTGCATAGCGCTAATATTAGCTGTTAATTCGAAGGGTTGTTGTGAGGTCAAAGGTGCTAATACATTATAAGTATCTTTGAAGAGTATCTAGCATATATAGTAAGTGTAATATAGGTGTTGTTAGTGTTATATTAGCAGAAATTATATTTGCTAATACATATTACCCAAACATATTACCCCTGGCTGCTGGGAAGGCAAAGTACCTCCCATCTAATGGCACCAAAGTGGCAAACATGGTAGAATGCAGTGAAGGAAGTAACTCACCACCTTTATCTAATAGGGAGCTTTTAATCAATTTGAAAAAAGAAAGAAATACCGAGAGCATTAGAAGAAAAATTTGAAAAGGTGCAATAAATGGAATAACTTGATATGTGGACAGAAGTATTATTTGCCTCAACATCCCTGAACTTAGTGGATTGGTGTCTTTCCTCAGCAAGTTTTTGAAAATCAGATTATTTTCCTTCATTGAAACAAACTTATCTATAGGTAGCGGAAAGAGACTCTTTGGAACAAAGTGATGTTGAAATAATTAGTTCATTACACTCAAAATGAAAGACAAGGGAAATCATCTAGAATTGGGCAAAATGGCATAAGGTCTCATTAAAAGGCCCTCCCCCTTGAAGACACTCTGATGAACTAGTAGAAATGAACAAATGAGGAGAGAAGTAAAACACAGAGCGTTTGTTTCAGAGGGCTGATACTTTCATACTGTACTTAATAAATCTAATGGTAGAACCTGGGTTAGTTTTTAAAAACTCCCTTCAAGGGCATCTCAGTCTACCCTGAGCCATCAACCTGAAATGTACAATTCTCTTTAGTTATTATGCAAACTTACCAGGAGTCAGACAACGTGTACAAATGTACACATGTGTTTAAAATGGGGAGAGCTGCTGAATCATCAGGCAGGATGAGGCAGTTACTATGACAGCAAACAGCCGTCTTTTATCTTTACTCTTTATACTGCCCGCAGAAAGGGCAGACTTGTCAGTATGTGTCACAAATGACTAATAATGCTATATAGCTTTTTATTTGTATTTTCCAGTAGGTATTTGTCCTAATTAGACTGCCCAACCACTAACTGTTCCTTCTTTGGAGCATCCAGATCCCTCTTTTCTCAACCCCCCACCGCCAAATATGGTGATGTGGTGGTGCCTCCTTCTGCTTTCAAAGCTGATTGAAAAAGACCCCCTTCCCTCTATTACTCCAGTGAGGACAAGAGCCTTGATTGATAGGTGAATTATATTCACATGAACATAAGAGTGCACGTATCTTTTACATTTACAATGTTGTGTTTTACATTAACATAACAAGAAAAGGCAGCAGAACTCATGAGTCCTTTGATTTCAGTGAAAATAGTATTAAGATGAATCAAATGGTATTCTTAGAATTAAATACGTTACCATCTACTTTTATTATTCCATATGCATACTGCAATTTTGTTAATGATACCCGCCACTCATCATGTGCACAGCATGTGTGTTTCCATGTTCAAAAATAAAAAAAGGAGGGCTTCCCTGGTGGCGCTGTGGTTGAGAGTCTGCCTGCCGATGCAGGGGACACGGGTTCGTGCCCCCATCTGGGACGATCCCACATGCCACGGAGCGGCTGGGCCCGTGAGCCATGGCCGCTGAGCCTGCGTGTCCGAAGCCTGTGCTCCGCAAGGGGAGAGGCCACAACAGTGAGAGGCCCACATACCACAAAAAACAAACAAAAAAAAAAGAAAAAAGAAAAAAGAAAAATAAAATAAGGAAAAAGAAAAATCAGCTGAGTTAAAACTTGGAAAACCCTAATCCCAGTAAGAACGGTGCTCTCCCTTTCAATGACATTGCATTGACTTTGTTGTACTTTAACCGCGTTAGTTTGCAAAGCAAGGGAAAAGCTATCAGACCGCTCCTATCACATAATCATGCCATTACCATGCTGTTGACTGCATAAATGTGAATTTATGTGGTTAAATAGGCTCTTTGAATTCATACAAAATGTAAACCATTTACATAAAATTGATTTGTATTTACTTAATTAATGTACAATATGCTAAACTTAGTTGGTTTCAAAGAGAAACTAAAATCAATAATATTCTCCCCCAAATATTCCTATGGCCAAAGTAAAAGTTGCAAATCATGTTTGTTTTAATACACATTTGAATAATGTTGTAACTTTGGTATATCTATTGAAAATAAGAGGTTTTTAATGCTCTTATAGGCATTGTTAGATACTATTTCTTGAAACAATTTGATTAAAGTTTCCTAGCTCGATCTTTAACTAGCTGCAGAGTTTTGGGCAAGTAACTAACATTTTGGGGCCTCCCAGCAAGCCCACTCCTGGGCATATATCCAGACAAAACTATAACTCGAAAAGATATATGCACCCCTATGTTCATAGCAGCGCTATTTACAATAGCCAGGACATGGAAGTGACCTAAGCGTCCACCAACAGATGAATGGATAAAGAAGATGTGGTACATATATACAATGGAATATTACTCAGCCAAAAAAAGAACGAAATAATGCCACTGGAGCAACATGGATGGAGCTAGAGATTATCATACTAAGCGAAGTAAGCCTGACAAAGAGACAAATACCATATGATATCACTTATATGTGGAATCTAAAAATATGACACAAATGAACTTATCTACAAAACAGAAACAGACTCACAGGCATAGAGAACAGACTTGTGGTTGTCAAGGGGGAGGTGGGTGGGGAGGGATGGATTGAGAGTTTGGGGTTAGCAGATACAAACTATTATATATAGAATGAATAAACAACAAGGTCCCACTGTATAGCACAGGAGACTATATTCAATATCCTGTGATAAACCAGAATGGAAAAGAATATGAAAAAGAATATGTATATATAGATACACATTCTACATTCCCCAAATGGGAATACAGTTATATATATATATATATATAACTGAATCACTTTGCTGTACAGTAGAAATTAACACAACATTGTAAAGCAACTATACTTTAATAAAATAAATGAAAAATTGGGGGGTCTCAATTTCCTCATCTGTAAAATGAATAAAATAGTAGTATCTACCTTGTAGAGTTATAAGCCTTAAATAACACATATGCAAAGATAACAGTGCACTGTGATAGTAAACCATCATTAGCTTCTTCTTAATCACCTTCATCCTCTTTTAGATTGAATATTTTAGCTATTTCCATATAAGGAAAATCATAGCAATCATAAAAAACATGTCAGTTCTGACTTTTTTGTGGCATGGTATGACCTGAGCAGTGTCATCAGCAGCTTCTCTTCACCTACACCTATATTAGACTACCATGCAAATTAATTTCCATGAGGAAGAAAAGCCAAAGTTATTATTACTAAGGGCTTCAGAAAACCACATATACTTTTTCTTGTTCAGAATCCACTTCAGCTATTGATTAGAAATAGTAACTTAGAGTTATCAAAAGACATACACACACTATTATATATAAAATAGAAAACTAATAAGGACCTACTGTATAGCACAGGGAACTCTATTCAATACTCTGTAATGACCTATATGGGAAAAGAATCTAACAAAGAGTGGATACATGTATACGTATAACTGATTCACTTTGCTGTACACCTGAAACTAACACAACACTGTAAATCAACTATACTCCAATAAAAAATTTTTAAAATATCAAATGCCAGTAATATATTAGGATTGCAAAAAAGATGAAAGAGAAAGGGGTCGTCTAGAATGTAGGCAACAGTTAAATCATTCCTATACCTACTGGATTAAGTTCAGTGACGTCCCATTCAAGGTACTCTGCCACATGCATCATCTGACTGATGATATTTTCTAGTTCCTGGAGGAGAGGGGAGGGAAGGGGAGGGAGGGAAGGAAGGAGAGGGAAAATGAATACAAGGTCTTAGTAAGTTCTTCAACTTTGACTTACAGGAATTGATTTGTTCAACACGTAGCTCAAAACCTAAAGGAGTGAGATGATTAATTTTATATAAAAAGTAAACATATACCTCTTCATTTTAAAGGCCTACTTAACTATACATAAAAGAAGAGCCTAAATATGCATTCCTTTGTACTTTGTCTAGAAACCTTCACCAGGAGAGGGCACAACTATACAAAGAAAGGTTTTCTTCCAGGAGAAGATTTTTAAGAAAATTTTTGTCTGGAAAGCAGCATCTGATGAAAGTAGGAGCCTGCATATTTTCACAAAAAGCTGTGATTTTTAAGTACTGAGTATCCTGACCCCACAGCTTGAAAACAGGTGTGGAAGGGTGGGAGGAAGGGTTTGAGGGCAGCTGAGAGTTTTATTTTTATTCTGATACACTGAGAACGTATACTGACGGTTCTAGCCATTTACTGGTAAAATTTGCTCTGCTAGAGGTGTGTTCAGGTTAAGGTTTGGAGGCTAAGTGCATGCAGAGTTTATTTTATGAGGGGATAGAATTTTAGTCTGAATTTTCACATTCTTCTGCTCAACGTCAACTCTTTGAAGAACTGCTGGTTAATATATATGCCTTGGCTAAATAAATTATAACATTTTTTCATACCGATTTATTTAATGTTTTAATTTTTCTATATCTTCAGAAAAGATTAAACATACTTTGTGAATGCTAATAATTTTAAGGGTAGTCCATCCATGACAATTAAAAGCGGTATTTCATAGTATGATAATTTAAAATATAAGAAGTATAAAGAATAAGGCTTGAAAGTATATTAATAAAATTTATTCTACTAAAACCTCTGATCTAATGTACGTGGTTAATATGCATAAAATGAAGAAGAAAATATAGTAAAAGAGGGTTTTTTTGCGGGGGGGGAATTAATGGATCCCTCTGAGAAGCTGATGAAAGCTACACTCTCTCTCTCTCCAAAAATATATATATGAAATCATGAAAATGTTATATAACACAGGTCATCCCAGAAACAATGCAAATATAAATGTGTTTATTACAGATGAGAAAAATTTTACAACACTAATCCCTTGTAGTTAGAGGCTAGAATTTTGTGTGTGTGTGTATAACTAATCTTCCAGTTACTTTATCTTTGCTTATATATGCCTTAATGGTTTGGAACCGTTAAAGTCTCTGGATATGTTTGGAGGAACAGAAACTATTTTTGGTGGACTATTGTGTACACATGTGGTACTAGATAAGTCATTTAACCTCTCTAAGTTTCCTCAACAGTAAAATGGGTATTCTAATAGTACCTAGTTCATAGAGTTGCTACCAAGATTAAATATGCTGTTATATGAAATACATTTATCTTATCTGGCACAAGTGATCAATAAACATTAACTAGCATTATTAGACATACTGGTCATTTCTCAAAGTATTAATTTTCTTCTGTTGTGTCTCCAGTATATGAACATAGCCTTTAAATTTCAAAGACAAATGATATCAGAAGGTGCGCTGCCTACCTGACAGTGAAGGAAATATCCTGGGACAGTAAGTTATATGGAGAAAATCATAGAAATTAAATCCAGACCTTTATTTTAAAAAAGACTAATTTAATCATAAACAAACTTATTTATCCTCAGCTCACTGTTTAATATTGGGAATATAGTTATAAATATTGCTAGTAATCTACTATATGTTAACCAAAAAATGGCCAGAGACCAAGAAAAGCATTTGACTAAATTTTCTAATCAGCTGCCAACCCATGGCTAAGAGCCTAGTAAAGAAACATTGTTTTAATTTAATTAAAAAGAAAAAGAAAACAAATCTGCATTAAAAATATAATTTGCATTAGTGTAGTCAGAAATGCTACAATAAGCATATTGACATATGTAGAAGAAATCTAAACTTCTAGCCGTGAAATGCTACCAGAAAATGAGCAAATGTATCATGTTGCTTAATATTCCTAAGTGGAAAACTGAACACTACTAGGCACTTAAAAATAACAGCATTTGAAAAATTAGAAAGACCCTAACATAAGAAATCCCACAATCACAGCATCAATTCAGATTGGTGGTCATTTCCTAGAGTAGGAATTATATATTTTTATCTCTCTCTGGAGAAACTAATGCACCATTATCCTACTCAGTGTTACATAAATATGTCTCCAACTTCACTGCTTTGCTTGTAAAAGTGTGTTTGAGTTCTGCCATAGAGAGACACATCAGATGATGAGAGAAACTCATTATGAGAAATAATGCTTATTTTAATCAATATTAAATATATCAAAACATTTGTTTTTACATGTACCTATGTACTTCAAAATTTCCATAATGTGACACTTACTCTTTTGTTAATATTCTTATATTTCCTTCATAGAACAGGACATGATATAATATACAAAATGTTAAACAGAAAATACATCATTGGTGGAAACTGAGATGGATATACTCAAGAGGCCCTGATTTGAAAACTAAGAGTCTAACTTCTCCTCTGAAAACTGTCAATGATTTGCATATACTACAAATAAAATAAACATTTAATTATTACTTTCTGTGAGATGGTATTTTTCTTCTATTGATTTTTATGAGTAAAACTATAGATAGAGTGCAAGTTGGATTTAAAATCGGATGAGAAGGGAAGTTTGCCAAAGCAGTTTTAAATATAATTACCCATTTCATCAACATATGTGAGTAACAGTACTTAAAAAGTGGGAAAATAATAAAATGAATGAATCAACTTCATAATTCCTTTAAATTCTACCTGTATTCTTGATATTTTCCTATATATATATACACACACACACACACACACACACACACACACACACACACACACATTTTTTTCTTTTTAGATCAATGGTCTCATCTTTCTCTTATATTTTATTCAGACAGGGTTGAAGTCTTTTTTATCTTTCTGTATATAAAAAGTCACTTTTTTGTAGTAAAATTATTCAATAGAACAACTGTAATCCTAACAGTTTCCTCAGATCACTTGCTTTCAAAAAAATCAGATGATAAAAATGCTGTGTGAGTGCATGGAAATTATATTGTGTCTTCTGTGGTAATAGCTATAAATTTATTCATTGCATTTTTCAGAACAAACTACTTTGAAATTTTCACAGAAAATTTGAAGAAAAAAATTACCGAGCTGTCCAGGAAGCCATTTCCATCCGTGTCATAGAGGCGAAACATAACTAGAAATAAAAGAGGTGTTGAAAAAAAGATTATAGGTGAGTAAGATCAATGCTAGAATAAGGCATATTCTTTAAAATTTATTTTCTGTCCAAAACAAATACTACTAAATCCTTCCCCTCCTCAAAGCAATTGATTTGCTTAAAGATGAATTAATCATTAATAAAAATAATGGATATCAGATATAAATTCTACCAATTTTTGTTATACAGCTAGAAAACACTAAGAAGTGCTATTGTTTGTTCAAATTTGTATTACAAGATCAATAAATGGAAATTCAAAATAACAGAAGAGAAGGAATTCAGACATTCAGAGTCTGAATATTAAAGGACAGAGTGGATAAGAAGAAATAACTAATTCAGAGGTCTGGAAATCAATTATAATTTGGAATCTACCATCCACTGTTATGTGAGCTTAGTCAAACGCTGTTTTCTTATCTATAAAATAAGGATAATCACCCGGTTATAAGACACACATTTGTTAGGGATAGGGGTTAAGAGGTACAAACGACTATGCATAAAATAAGCTATAAGGATAAACTGTACAAGACAAGAAATATAGCCAATATTTTATAATAATTATAAATGGTGTATAATCTTTAAAAACTGTGAATCACTATGTTGCACATCTGAAACTTACATAATGTTGTAAATCAGCTGGATATATGTATATGTATAACTGATTCACTTTGCTGTACACCTGAAACTAACACAACATTGTAAATCAACTATACTCCAATGAAAATTTTAAAAAAACAAAAAGACACATTTGTTGTGAAAGTGAGATGATACACACAAAGGTGTATCAAAAGCTGTAGGTCACTACACAAATATAAGCCATTGTTTTGATTAACCCTTAAGCAGTATGGGAAAAGAAAAATTAGTGCAAAATAAGGGAATTTTCCTGATAGGGGATGCAAAGACATAAATGGCATTATTATCATGGGTATAATGGTGTATTTGTTTAAATCGGAGATGTAGTTTCATAGGGTAACCACTCTTTGAACTAATCAAATGAGGAAAAAGACACTATTGGCTCTGTGCTAGGGAGCTCAGGAAAGCAGGATGGCAGAGGTCCATGCCTGGCCTGAGGATTCCCTTGTATAATTCACACACCACCAGGAGACTACAGAAGAGGCTGCAGGTGCCATTTTGAGATAAACAGAGAAGAATGACACAGCTGTAAAAATAGAGGAGTGGAAATGAGGGTTTGTGTTGGGTTTGTATAATTTCCTGGAGAGTCTTGATGTCTGAGGTCTATAATATTAACCAAAGACATTGACAACTAGGAGACATAATTATGCAATGACCTTAATCTGTAACTCATTGTTATTTTTATATTTAAAAATAAGTATTATATTTCAAAAATTCTAAGATATTTATAAGATGCAAAACTAGTCTGCACATCACTAAAAGGAAAAAAATGCTGCCAATCTAGCTAACGTGTTCTATTCACTGTAAAATGGAAACAGACTTTAAAGATGTTGAAATGTAAGGGGAAATGTATACCTATTGAATTAAAGGATAGAATGTTAGGTTTGCTAAAGAATGTAAATATCTTGATTTGCAAACCATGATAACTGTTCTCTTTTATATATTAAACGAGAATAAAATTCAGAAAGAAACCAACAAAAAATCTTACCACAACATGGATACTAAGCATTTCAAGATTTTCTAGTGTAGCAAAAATGGTAAAAATACCTTTTTAAGTGGCAAAAATTCATACACCATTCAGAGAAGGGGTTAAGTACCAGGAACAAGGCAAGGACTTCCAAAACCTAACTATATTTTAGAATGAGGGACGCTTGTGACTCTGTTAATCCTTGTTGGAGTAAATGACTGCTAAACCATTTCATACAGCTCAGGTATATGGACATTTACCTATGCCTACTGGTAAATCTTGTTGGAAACATGAGCTCAAAGACGTACACACAAGTGGGGTGGGTGTGTGGTACCTGTCATTCATTTTGGGTGGCATCTGAAACATCTTCCTAAATTCTGAAAGCCAGACTTTATAAAGCACAATAACAGATGAAAGGCCAGATACCTTCCTTTACTAGCCTGACTTGAAAATAGGGTTTGCACATGACCCAGCCTCTACCAGTCAGAAACACAAACCCAGATGATTAATCAGATGCTAGTGACCCAAGAAAAAAGGGGCTTCACAGAATCCATGATGATGAGAGGCAGCAGCAACAGCGGTAATTGAAGAAAGGGGTGTGTGACAGGGATGGTAGCACTGAAAGGTGCTCTGTCTGTCCACAAAGAAGCAGTGATGGGTTGTCATATGTATAAGAAAAGTTATTAAAACTGTCTTTACTTACAAATGATATGTTTGTACATTTAGAAAATTCTATTGAATCATCAAAAAGAATTGGAACGTATATATATACATATTTCATGTATATAAGAATTTACATTATGTATATATGTATTAGAACTTATGTAACTGATATGTTATCTATATCTTATTATTAGAACATATATCACATGTATTATATCTTATATTAGAACTTATATAACTATATAATTAGATCTTATATAACATATAGGTTATATGTTTTATATTAGAAATTATATAACGTATAAATATTAAGACATATGTTTATATATAAATATACATAAGTATATGTATTTAGTGATACGGTCGGATTAAAAAGTCAATTGCAGTTTTACATACTAGCGAAGAACAATTAGAAAATGAAACATAAAACATATCATTTACAATAACATCCAAAAACCTAAATATATAAGATAAATTTATCAAGAGTTGGACCTCTGTGCAAAAATATAAAACTTCACCAAGAAAAATTATAGAAAACCTATATAAATGAAAAGATGTATTATGTTCATGAATTGGAAGATTCAATATCATTAAAATGTAAATTCTCCACAGATTGTTCTATATAACAGATACAATCTCAATAAAAATACCAGTAGCTTTGTTTTAAATATTAACATGGCTGATTCTAAAACTTACATAAAAATAAAAAAGACTTACAATACCCCAAACAACCCTGAAAAGGGAGAACAAATCAGAAGGATTTACATGACCTGACTTCAAGAGTTGCTAAAGATCAAGTGAATCAAGATAGTGACATGCTGACTAAGCGCTACACAACAGAACAATGGGAAATAGGAATATAGATAGAGATCCACACACTTATGGTCAACAGGGACAAAAGCAATTCAATGAGATGAGAAAAGTCTTTTCAAAAAATGATGATGGAACAGCTGGATGGATATTCGTATAAAAAAAAGTACCTTGACCCTTACTTCACACCAAACATGAACATTAGGTCTAACTGAATTTTAACTTAAAAACTAAAATTTTTTGAAACTAAACTTTAACATTAAAGCAGTGCTATAAACCTTCTAAAAGAAAATACAGGACAATATCTTCATAACCTCAACATAAGCCAATATGAACCATCAAAGATTTTTAAAAAATAGGTAAATTAAACTTCATCAAAATTGGAACTTCTGCTCATCAAAAAGAAAAAAAAGAAGACGATTAAGAAAACAAATAAGCCAGCTGCAGATTTGAAAAAAAATTTTCAGAACACATATATCTAACAAAGGACTTGTTTCTACAATATATGAGCAAACCCTAGCTCAGTAATAAAATAGCAAACAACCCAATTAGGAAAGAGGCAAAAAATCGAACAGATGCTTCAAAAATGGAAGAGAGGTGAGTAGTCAGTCATAACAAAGTACTCAACATCCTCAATCGTAAAGAAAATGGAAATTTAAACCACAATTAGAGACCATCATATGCCTTCTAGAAAGACTCCAGAATTCAAGTTTTTTCCCCAAGACCAGTCTACCAAAGCTGCTTACCTTCTCAGCCTCTCAGGTGCCTAAGAATTTACAGTTTAAAAATACTGGCAAAAGCCTGGCTCCCCGCTCCCAGAAATTTAACCCACAAATCCAACTTGCCTTGATAATTTCCTAAAATTTACAAACAGATTTTTTAAAAAAGAATATTGAGTTTAAATGTTCTAGTTGTTTCTAGCAGAAAAGTTGGTCTGAGAACACTTTACTGTTGTATGAAGTAGAAGCCCTAGCATATTTTTATATTAATTTCTACACACATTATCAGGAGTTAATGGCTGTCTATAAATCCTGTCTAATTCACCAAGGAACAAAGTTGGAGAACTTTAAGTACTAGTTAATAATTATAGCAATAAAAAAACAGTATACATATATTGAGCACTAAGTATCTTGTAGTCTAAATCTCACCAATTATAAATCAATGATAAAACTTTCCTTTGATTCCGATGCAAGAGAGGAATTCTAGGACTTTAATTTTCAGAGGTAAGTCTACTTTCCTAATTTAAAATTGTAGTGGGGTCATGCAAAACAAGAAATATTGAACACACATATTTACATTGCCTTTCTATTGAAGGTCCACTACAGTAACAGTAAGGGATGAAACAGGCATAAACCCACAAGTACAAAGAAAACGTGAGAGGAGACAAGAAAAATAAAATTTTAGAAGCTGGAAAACACATGGTGACTGATGTAGAAACCTGAGAAATATAGACGTAAGCTGGTGGTAAAGAGGAGGCACAGATTCACACAGAAAAGGAAACATAATCTTCATGAAAAGAAATTAGACCTTTAAACACTACCCCTCACAGCTTGCACCTGAGGGTATGCCAGCCCTCTACCTTAAAGAAGACTGGATCTTTGAGCTTTATAGCAGTCAAGCCACAGGGACTCTGAGTTCAGGGTACTCAGGCATTCTGATGGTAGGGGTCCAATACCAAAGAGTGTAATCATGTGAAAATGGATATACTGAACATTGAGAAATGTAAGTCCCCTTGCTCACCTCTAATGAGTCAGACTTAAACTTCATCTACCCACCCACCTACCCACAACCACCAAGTAGTTGTTTCAAAACAAAGTAATTTGGAAGAAACCAGCAAAGCAGGGAGAGGGGAACCTTATAAATAAGAGGATTCAACCCATAAAATAAGAATAATAGCAAATAAGGATGG